AATGGGACATAATGTATCGGTTGTAGTATGAAAGCTTTTCGAATAATAAAAATCTCTAACATTTTTTGTCGTATGTCACTTTAAGTGCTTTTGTGTCGCTCAAGAATCAAGAAAAAATTCTTAAAACAATCGATTGGAGAATCTTAAGGATAACAAAAGCTCGCATCTTCAGAGAACATCGTTTTTCTAAATAGTAGTCTGTCAACCGTAACGTAACATTGAGTAATGAATATACACTAGACAAAAAGTAATACAACGCACATATTCACTTTTTTAAGACTTCTTTATGGCTACCCACTACAAAAGCTCATTTTTCATAGCGATAAGCATTATTTATCCTTCTCTCTCAGTTTTTAAAAACATACTTAAACTACAATACAAATTTCTAAACATTAATATTGATAAAAGGAGATAACAACAAATGTTTTAATAACAGATAAGTAACATGCCCGAACTGTGATTGATTAAAATTTAAAACCATTTCAACTCATAATTCATCCAAATTAAACAGCGGACCGCACATGCAGGTAAGAATCTAGTTCTTTATAAAAATCGCAATCTAGAGTTGCAAACTCTCAAGTAAATACACCCTTCCGATAGCAAGAACTGAGTCTAAAACTAAAATCTAACAGCAATCTAAATAAAAAAAAACCTTCAGCACAGATCTAGCGGCTGAGTAGTGGTATAATAAACTTAATATTTTCTAGTGCCATCTTCAGGTGTTCTGTACCAGTAACCGGTGCAAAATGCCAAGCAAATATAAAATAGTGCTCTGAGTATAAGTGAACAGCACATAGTTTTCAATGAACACATAAATTTCCAACTCTACACACTGATTTGTATTTATCAGCATCACCTTCAGTTATCAGGCAGTGAACTGCAAGCGAACCATAATGAGTGAATAACACAAGTCACTACTATGAATGTAACAAGCAAATATTACACAGAAACTCTACAAAAATGTGAACATCACGTATTATGTACATTAATATACCTGGTTGATATTGTTCAGTATAATGCATCATAATTACATTTTATATTCAAGTTACCACTGACTTCTAAAGTAAACATTCTCTGTACACTCAGAATAACAATGCATGAAACATTGCTAAAATCCTTATTTAGCACAGTTAAAGTCTGGACAGAGTATGTTTAATAACCACAACTCACAAATACCCATCTTCCGAAACAACTTTATAAGTTCCGCTAGAAATGTTAATATTCTATAGCGAATTTCAGCTAGGCCTAGCGAGAATAGAATGCTCCACCAATCGAGTACAAATGCTGATAATCATAAAACAGGTGGTACAGCAGCTTAGCTGGTGGTACGTAAGTAAGTAAACAAGAACTGAGTCTTCTTACAATGAAGATAATTAATTGTATTTATTTTTCAATCTTAATCAAGCACTTTTCCTATGCCTTAAGTATTCTTCCCTTATTGTGTTGTTAATAAAGTTAGTAATTTGTCATGATAATTGTTTAAAAGCATTATTAAAACATCCAATTATTAGATTATTAAAATATATTAAAGTTCAACTCATTGATGAGCCTGGACAGAGAACTGGAATATAAAATCTCACTAACTATGAAGAGCTATTCTTCTAATAAAATGTATGTAATTGTGTGGATATTTCATCCATTTGCTGTTTGCTTTTCCGTTTTAGCTGGCAAATATATCATGAACGCGGGAATAGGGAGTAGTACCATATGCTTAAGATTCGTAGATTACGTACTTATGATAACCAAACAAATCTGAAATTCATCATTGGTACTGTAATGATACATCCTATATTGCTGTGCCAAAGTGAAAACCCATTAATGCCGCTAGTTTGGAACCGTTTGCAACAAACTATGTTAAAATTAAAACGTACGGTATTAAGCCACTTTATTTGGTTTACGGTCTCATGTGAAACTTAAAATTGTATTTTATAGTAGTTGATGTTTCGATTTTCATAATAGGGGACGTTTTTTCGTTCATTTTGGCTTATTAATGTATGTGAAAAAAATTCATCGACATATTAACAATTCTTCCTACTGAATGGAAATTAGAACCATAGTACTCAGCGGAAAGACAAGACTGTATCTCAATGCTCTTAGTACCAACAAATACTTACTGTACAATCAATCAATCAAAACTGACCAGTTCATTACACCGAAACTAATCTGCTCTAAACAAGACGAATTTCACTCGTAGTTTTAAGTGACTCGTTTTAATTCCTAGTTTTAAGAAAAGTACTTCAAATGTATAAATAACAGCAGGAAAATTCTCGACCCTCTAAAATAAACTTATACTCACCTTTTACAGTCGTGCGTAAGGCTTTCCAGCATTAGACCAGCTGGAGATTACAAAGCATTTAAATCAATTACAGTTTTGATTCCTGTCCCACGTACATAATACTTCACTCAAACACTTTACGGTAAAAAACAGCTTTTGTTTCTGAATTAGACATTTTATGGTCTCCTCAATGGCTGTCTACGAAAATCACATATCTGAAACATCAGCAATTACTCGATCCCCTTGAGTTTCCTTATTTAAATTTTGGTGTCAAAAATGCTACTCATATGTTCCAACATTTTATGCAAGGATTATTAGAATTATATTTCTGTTACACATACTTAGCTGACAAAATGAAGCACGTTGTAAGCCATATGCTTCGAAAGTTTTACATATTGTCTCCAGTTGAATATTTCAAATGCCTTTGAGGAGTTCCTCATGTGGATACCTGAGGACATTTAGTGAGTGCAAGTAAACCTTTTTCTGAGAGAGTAGATGAAATTTTGAAACTAAAACAGTTACAAATTTACTGTAGGTTTACTAACATTTTGCCCTAAATATCTGGCACATGTAGCGTATGAGCAAGCACTACTAAGAATATTTAAAAGTTTAGAAAATAACTATAAATTCTTTAATCTACACAAACAGGGGAAACTTTCGAATGTTAGCAACAGTTAGCAAATGCTACATTATTAGTACATCCTTCGCCAAATTCATTACTTATGTTTCATTTCAACGCTTCAAATAGATGCATTTAACTGTGTTACTGGCAGAGTTCTAAATAAAGGTGCTACCCACAGATTCAAAGAGAGCTTGGAGCAAGCAACGAGGAAGGACGCCATCACGCCGAGCTCTTGGTTTTTGCCCAATTTTCAGTCGAAGATTTTGAGTGCGATGTGTGTATTATATATCAAAATGTGCGTGAATATCTCATGCATCCTTGGATACATCGTTTAAGTGTGTGTGAGTGATATTTCTCCAGATTTTTGTGTTTTAGTGCTTCTAACAAAAGAAAATAGGCAGTCGCAATTTACCGTGTTTTTTGTTCACCACTTCTGCCGCTACAGCAACGGAAGGGTCCCGCCTAGCTACCACGTGGTTTCCCCTGGTAGGCCTAGGAAATCGGCCAAATATTCCATGTCCAGAAATTAATTTTTAATTAAATATATGTATATATCTTCGGATCCATTGCAATCAAGAATTTCAAGAACTGGTAGGTTTTTTTTTTTTCAAAATTATTAACATTTTTACAGGACTTGCATAGTGATTTTAATTCCATCGTTTTCATCTTCAGTTTCGACATTATAGCTCTCGTCGTCGAATAACTTTTCGATAACTTTGAACACTGTTCGACAAACTCTAAAAATTTAGTTTTAAAGCTCTAGTTGCGTGCTTTTGATGTGTTTTACATGAGAACTGATCTTTATGCACTCTGTATTTTACCTTTAATTACTTGCAATGTTTATTTAATCTTTTAATTACTGTATTAATTGCTGTATTTTAATTACTTGTATTTTTATGTTTCTACTTGCACTTAAAAATCAGTCAGTTTGATTGTATTTAGAGAATTTTTAGTCATAGTTCATCTGTTAATTATGTTTAGTATCTTACTTATTCTACTACATATTTTAATTACTGTAATTTCTTGTTACTGGGTGTGAAAGGGACCTATTGTTACCAAATTTTATCATATATTGGTTGTTATACAGCAATAAGCAATAGCTGTTTTACGTTAAGTATTTGATAAAGAGTTACACTACGAGTGTGATAATTTGCAACTCTGAGAAAGTTCTTGGACAGCATGTCCCGTCAATCAGTGATTCCAATTGACGGTGATTCCGCGCATTCACAAAGTGACGTAGACGCCACTAATTTATTGACCTCTGATTTGCCTTACGCAGAGAAAGTAGCTATTTTGTGTGAGGATATTAGACAGGTAGCGGCCACCACCAGAAGTACTAAATATCTTTTACCTACAGTTCTTCGCACCAGACTATTAGACTCCCTGGTTTGCGTTGCAGACGCTGGCCTTACAAGGTGCAGAATTAGCAGCCAAGCCAACAAAGATAGACACAGGTGTTAATACATCAACAGTGCTTTGCTGTGAATTGGCTCACTCTCAGCCTCTACCGATAGCACAACAACCACCTGATTTACAGGCACCTCCACCTTTGCCAACAGCTTCTCGACCAACTTTTGCAGAGATTATAAAGAAACATAAGAATCCAAGTCTATACATACGTCCCAAAGCGGACGTCACAGAGGCTGAGCTAAAGGCGCAGCTAAACGCTAAAGTACCACTTTCCAAGCTACAGGCAGGTATAGAAAGAATTTCTAAGCTCAACAAAGGAGGTTTCGAGGTTGTCTGTAAATCCACTGAAGATGTCGAAATCCTCGAACAACAGCTTCAACAACAAGATATCCCAGCGGAAGTCACCCGTCCATGGAAACGTAAGCCAAGATGCACCGTCCATGACTTGCCGGTATCCACACAATCAGAAGAAGTACTCGCAGAACTCAGCGGCGTCACTGGAATGCCTAGCACCACCTTTTAAACCCCTATTCCGATTACAAGAACGTCGTAAAGGCAAAATCAAGTGGGTTTTTGAGTGTGAGCCGACAGGCTTTGCAGCCATCATGCAGCACAGAAAAATCTTCCTCGGCTGGCAGGCTCATAGAGTCTCAGAGCATATTGGCCTCCAGCGATGTTTTAGATGCCAGCAATATGGGCATAAGCAAGCTGACTGCAGAAGTAGAAAACAATATTGCTCCTACTGTGCAGAAGAACATGGGAACCGTGATTGCACAGCCCAACAACCACAGTGTATCAACTGTGGTGAGGCCAACTCCCGCTATGGCACCAAATACAGCTACTTCCATCCAGCCTATGCTCCAGAATGCCCACAATACCAGCGCAAGGTACAGTCAATCCGAGATAATACAGAATACTGCTAATCTTGATTTATCAAACGTCATAAATAAAGATACAATATGCAGTACATTATCTATCAAATGTATACAAATAAATTTACAGCGAGCAAAAGCAGCAGTTGCTCAACTAGCACAATTTGCAGCAGCAGAATTTGGTGCTGACCTGATAATGGCTCAGGAACCTTACACGCGAGACGGAATTGCAGTGGGATTTCCATTGCAATGGACAATTTATCAACAAGGAAATGTAGAATATCCTCCTAGGGCCATTATTATTAACTGCAACAAAAAATGGTCTCCGGCTATCGTAGCAATTGAACGCGATAATGTTGCAATCATTATAGAAGCACAAGAAGCATCTTTACTGTTTATCTCACAATACTCTCCTCCTTCTGCAGATATTTTGGCTACTACACAGTTTCTTACAGATACCCTGCAAAAGATTAAAATTCCTCTTAAAATAATTACAGGCGATTATAATGCCCACAACACGGTTTGGGGGTATGCTTCTACGAATGACAAAGGAAGCCTTCTGGAGGATTTTCTGTCTGCTAATCATCTTGTTTTACATAACACAGCAGACGCGCCTCCGACATATGACAGAATCTACGCACAAGGCTGGCCTGATTTGACGGTCAGTTCAGCCTCAGCTGCGCCATTAATACAAAATTGGAGGGTTAATGATGAAATTAGCTTAAGCGACCATCGTTACATTACTTTCTCAATAGAGCAACCGACGACAATTAATATTATTCGTCGTTACAACCTACCTGGTAGGCGTAAACGTGCTTTTACTACTAGAGTCAAGAATTTGATTGAAGGTATTGAACAACAGCTAACTCAAGCGAACTCTAGAGACGAATTGGAGAATTTCACAGTGACTCTACAAAAGTGTATACAGCAAGCGTGTGATGACATATTGCCACAGCGTAGTACTAAAAAACTGACTACGATCAATTGGTGGAGTAGTGAACTTCGTATTCAGCAGAGGCAATGTCGCGCATTACGTCGAAGAAGGTTAAAGACTGAGCGTAGACTAAACCTTCCAGCTAACACCCTCCCAATTTATCAACAGGCAAGAGCGAAGTACAAACGTTCAATTTTGCAGGCTAAAATCAATTCATGGCATGCTTTTTGTACAGAGTCACAAAACATCTATGGTATTCATCATAAGATTATGACTGGAAAGCTGTTTAGGCCTGCCCAGTTACACATCCCTACACGAATAAATGTTACTCAGGACTACACAAGGGAAACATTAATACAGATCCTGGATTCCGTCTTCAGTCAGGATGACCCAACCGAAGATTCTAAGCAACAAGCAACTATACGTACAGAACAGATGTCTACCAACGTGCCACCGGATAGGGATATTACATTGAAAGAACTAAAACATATATTAGCGCATTTGCCAAAGAAAAAGGCCCCTGGCCCTGATGGCATTGATTATGCAATCGTTAAAACAGTCGTTTTGGCCAAGCCAACAATCTTTGTTAGCTTTTTCAATAAATTACTAGCTACGGGTACATTCCCGAAATCGTTTTAAAATCGGACAAGTGGTGTTGTTTTTGAAAAAAGATCGCAATCCAGCGGAACCCACATCTTTCCGACCAATCTGTTTACTTCCGGCTCTTGGTAAACTGTTTGAAAAAACTCCTTATGACCAGACTACGCTATTATCTACACGTTAATAATATCCTCAGTCCCAGGCAATATGGATTTAGGCCAGGAACTTCCACTTTACACGCTTTGCATGATATCAAAGAGGCTATCATGGACAACAAATATCACACGGTCTCCATACAGCACTCATCAGCTTAGACCTGAAGAGTGCATTTGACAACTTATGGTGGCCAGCGATCTTGCAGGCTCTAAGAAGTTCTGGCTGCCCAAGCAATATCTTTTAATACTATAAATCATTATCTACAGGATCGAAGAATAATGATTATACATTCAGCGGGAATTATTGAAAAGTCACAGACGAGAGGATGCCCGCAGGGTTCCTGCGCGGGTCCTCAACTCTGGAATTTAACCTTCAATAAGCTACTCAATGCTTCCTGGCCTGCGCATACGAACATTTTTGCCTATGCCGATGACGCGGCCTTGGTTGTCAAGGGACATTCTCGTGAAGAATTGCAAAAGAACTGCAATGAGGCCTGTCAAATTTTCCAGCGAAATTGTGACGAACTGAAATTAGTCATAGCAGAAAATAAGTGTCAAATTTTACTGGTGCCTAAGAAGGGAGGCTCTTTGGCAAGGAGACCGCGTATTGTACTCAATGGTCAGAGGCTCAAAATTGTAAAAGAATTAAAATATCTTGGTGTTACCTTTGATGAAAAACTTACGTGGATTCCTCATGTTCTCTCTATTAAAAAGCGTACCCTGGCCATCGCCAAACAACTAAGACAATTTTATGGATACAAGTGGGGTTTGAACCACCACATTCAAAAGATCTTATACACAACGGTTGTAGAAAAGTTAGTAACTTATGCTGCAGCAATTTGGGCTCTCCCTATGCAGAGGAGAAAAATCAAGCATCTCTCTACTATTCAGCGCCCTTTTGCCTTAGGCATAACTCGGGCATATATTACTACTTCCACTGATGCAATAAATGTCTTGGCTGGTTTGCTCCCACTGCATATTAGAACTGAGGAGGAAGCAGCACGACAAATGTTAATACAGCTACACAAGCCAATAGCATTTGCTGAAGAAAATTTTACTTCGGAGGAATATGAAACCAAACTAACATCTGACAGCATTCACCCTGCGGATTATGGTGTTGGCATTAGACTACATGTTCCGCCTACAGAATACCGTAGCCCCTCGAGTATAGTAATTTATACGGATGGATCTAAAATTGAAGGAAATGTGGGGGAGCGCATTTGCTGCTGTTTTACAAGAAAATAGTGTCATTGCACAATGGAAGGGCCATTTGGCTAACAATAACAGTGTCTTTCAAGGGGAAGCAGTAGCAATAGCGCAAGCTATTCGCTACTTGCTAACCCACCAAATCCTAAAGGCTACTATAAAATCTGATAGCCTTTCAGCTATTTATGCGATTAGTAATCCAGAACACCCATCCAAAATCATTAGAGATATTCAACAAGATCTTAGAAAATATCAACGCCATGACATCCACTTAGCTTGGATAAAGGCACATATGGGTGAATATGGAAACGAAGTTGCAGATACTCTCGCCAAGGAGGCCGCTTTTGGAATTGCTGCTGAACAAATTCACATACCTTGGCCGCATTCACATTTGAAATCTGCACTACGTCTCAAAGCAATCAGTAAGTGGCAAGAAGAATGGGATTATAGTACCACTGGTCGTCGTACTTATTACCATATTTCTTACGTTACACAAGATAGATGCTGTGGAAATCCCCATCTGACACGTTATATTTCAGGGCATGGCCCTTTTCCTCTTTATTTTGAGAGATTTAAAATAAGCGATTCCAGTTTTTGCACCATGCGGAGAGTTAGGCTCTCCGGAGCATTACCTTGAAAATGCCCTCTTACAGAAGGCTTACATATCAGATTCCCTTCGCAAAATCGTCAAGCCTTTTGCAAATTTCTAATCAAGCAGAGGCACTTGATTAATAAAATTAACAAGGTTATGGAAAAGGTTAAAGGTCTTGGAATAGACCTGTGCCAGGTGTAGCATTCATAGGCATAATGTATTGATGCAAAGTACATAATCTTCGTGGTAAACTCTGGTTTAATGCTACATTTATAGATTTTAGTGATATTCTTATAACGGACTGATCTAATGAAATGATCATTGTACTGTATCTTATGCACCCCTATGAAAAACAATATGTTTACTTTGCTTATTAGTTACCACAGTCTTAACGTACCCTTTCAAATAGTCACTCAGTACAAATTCTATCAAATTTTGTGTCTCTGAAATGTAAAAGTAAAATATTTCATAAGAAATTACTGTACCAGTGTAGTGTATTGTAGCAAATATGAGGGTACACCATTATTGGTTTTTGTTGTTCCAGAATGCTTACGTTTGTATGAATGATACTTATGGCTGAATTTGTGAAGCACATTAAGTATGTACTTTTCAATGATCCTCACGACTTGATCCTGTATTTGTATGATCCTATATTCCACATTCTGCTCCTAATGTGTATGTGTATTATTTTGTATGGCATATTCTATGTATATATATATACAGCGCATTATTTATTTTTATTTTTATTTATTTATTTATTTTTTATTTATTTATTTTTTGAAGGTTTTTATGTATGAATAATATAATAATATTTAATCATATAATTAATTGATACTTAGTATTTTTCATTTTAACCTTTTGCATTTTAGCTGTATAAGCACCAGCATTATGATTTAATAATCCTGTTTGATTATATACTGTATCATGCATATGTAGGATATTGTATTTTTTTTTTTTTTTTTTTTTTAATTTATTTATTTATTTTTAATTTTATTTTTTTAAGGTTTTTATGCATGAATAATAATATTATTTAGTCATATAACTTAAATCGATACTTAGTATTTTACATCTTAAATTTGCATTTTAACTTTTGCATTTTAACTGTATACGCACCAGCATTATGCTTTAATAATCCTGTTTGATTATATACTGTATCATGCATATGTAGGAAATTGTATGGTTTATTTATATTGTACGATATCGTAAGTACTGTAATGTATGACCTGTAGTCCCACTAGTCTCTAGATAAGGGTGGACGTGGTGCTATTACCAATTAACCATAACGGTAAAGGGATGGTGCCCACGTCCTCCGTCACTAAACTAAACTACCCACAGATTCAAACCTCTAAAACGTTTCTCCATAAAGCTTACATCTACACATTGAATATGATAAAAGTCTATACATATGTGCACATTTTCTTCTTAGTTTCCAGTATATTTCTTCAAATATTTACATGAAATATTGCGTTCTATTTTTGGTAGAATATATTGCCATTACTTTGATTGAGTAACTGGTTACGAAAAGGCACGTGGCGGTTATCTCTCCTAAGAGAGATACATTCGAGGAAAACTATTTATGGGAAATCGACTAGTATTTACATTACACTTAAGTAAAGCCGTATGTAATCTTCCCTATAACTAGGTGTCGATGCAAGTATTTACATTACACTTAAGTAAAGCCGTATGCAATCAGCCTACAACTAGGTGTCGATGCTAAGACGAACTTTTCGTAATCGTATCTACTGGGTGATTGTTAGTTATATTCAGTCAATCAATCGCTATTTTACTTTTTTTCCGAAGTATGATGCTTTATTATTCCGATGTATGATGCTTTATTTCCGAAGTATGATGCTTTATTGCATTCAGCTTCGTCCTGTTGTAAAAATTTTGAAACGCTCACTTTTGATTTATATTTGCATTGATTTAATTTGACAAGGGTTGAAAACCCCACGGTAATCAATTCAAAAGAAAATAAGCATTTAATTTAATTTATATCCAAGTTATAATCGAAAACTAAACCAGAATGAGGCATTTTATCAGTAGTAATATGCGGATGTTTTTCTTTTGCTGAAATTGTATTGATCTTGTTAGGAACTGTTGAAATTTATAACAACAGTTTCCGCCTTAATTTAAGTACTAACGAAGGCGATAAAAAAATAAGGATTTCCTTCCGACCATATTATTTAGTTACAGGAAATTCCTGAGATTAAACTTCCGGTAATTAAAAACCATTTATGGCATTGACCTCATTAAATGGGGACAGTTATTAGATAAAACCATGTTTCATTAGAAATTATATCCAGATTCTGGTGGCACACAGTTCTCAGTGAAAAGACACTAAATTACATTTATTTTGATATTCAATATGCGGAAATTATGTTTGGCATTCCTAATCATTCTAGGTAGGTGCTTTAAGATTCATTTTCAAATAATAATCAACTGTCACTAAAAATTTCATTTAATTAATTTGTTTGATCATTTTAAAGGTTTCATTAGCAGCAACTCTGTTAATTCCTTTATTAGGTTTCTAGTTGTCGTCTAAGAAATTGTAATTCTTTCCCCAAATTAGTGTATAACAGCATTAAAATGTATTGAAAATGCAGTTAAATAATAAACACTAATTTTCGCTATTGTTTTTCGGAATAGCAACAATCTCGTGCGTTGGAGTAAAAATGCTTTATTTCGAAAAGTGTTGCTGCTGCTAGCCTTCAAATCGTAGAGTTTGTTAATCAAAAATTTGTAAGTTTTACAAAATATGGAATAAAAATAACTTTGCCAAACTATAAATATTTTATTATTATATAAGGTCATATTCTGATGTTGAAGAAAGCACGCGATTGCATCTGACGTCATTTTACGTCGTTTGTAATTGTTCGTTAACGTTAATAGCTGCTTAAATAAATAGCTGCTGTTGGCAACTTTTTTGTTACAGGTTAGTATAATTGACACAATATATTATTGCAAAATTAATTATTTTATTAACATTGAGAAAACATTTTATGTTATATTAAATTTAAATAATGACGTCATACGTATTAACCTGAAATGTCAAAAATTTTCGTTTCCTTGCCCGACAATAAAAAAATTATTTACGAATTAGTTGTTGCTTGAAAATAATGAACTGATTTCTTTCACATTTAAATGTTTTTATATATTTACTTTTCAAAGATACATAGAACTTACTAATTTTGCTTTGGCTGCAGCCCGCTAGTTCATTTTTAAGACGTGTGATAGTGTGATAGTCACCAGTTTAGTAAATCTCGAGGCTGGAATTCACTAAAATACATTGATAAGTAAATTTATAAAACAGCAGCAATTTAGAATACTACGTTTATATAAAAATTTCAAATTGCTATGAATTACACTCATTCCATGAATCTTGAAATTTGTATATAGCATTATAACGATTACATCATACGATTTAATGCTACAGTGGGTAAAATGTTGTAGAGTGTAAAAGGTTTTATTTAAATGAACAAATGATTTAATTTGTAATTTGTTTGTGCTTTACTGACGATCCACATTTTTAAAATTAATTTATTCTAAAATTTAAATTTCATTGTAATTAAATTTCTTTTCGCTTAATTCCGCAAAATTGTCACAAACAGTTATACATATACCTTATTTATATGAGTAATAAAATACTTAAAATTTAGAATTTATCGGTACGCTTTATTTCTGGCACTTCATTCCCTCATGGCGGACAATCAAAGAAGTCTTAAGTATTTCAATGCCTGTAGCACTTTTGGACGGCTGGCAACATCAATTTGTAGCATACCTTAAATCTTTATGAACGTTAAAATTGAGTTAGGCAAATCGAACTTCCTACTTCCTAAATAGAATCAACGTGAATCTCGCATCTTTTGCTCCTATTACCTTCTTCTGTTCAGTACATCTTCAGCACACGATTTCTGTGGTCACATTTTCTCATCCGCAATTAGACCTTTAAAACCCACAGTTAATTTTTGACTTCTTCCAAATTTATTTCAGAAGTAATAAGAAAAAACAAAACAAATAAAAACCCTTTCTGCTGAAGAAGTTGAAAAATCTATGCAATCTCATTATCTCTCTACCAATGATGAATAAGAATGAGTTTTTAATGAGAAATGATTTAATAATGTAATATATTGTATAATTTGCTACAAGAAATTTTCTAAACTGGAATAAAAATATGTCTATAGGCATTTCATGAAAAATAGTATCATAAAAACATCAAAAGAATTTCGTTACCTACTTGGAAAACGTATGAAACCATCTAGTAAAGCAGAAATTATAAAACAAATCTTCAATGCATTCAATACATTTTTTGCTTAACATAATAATAAAAATTATATAATAATGCAAATTATCATGAATTTTTAATTATTACAACGAAATCATGAATTATAATAAAAAATATCACATTGCATTTTGTCGAACTGGAGGATGTTCTGTAATCGTTTTTCCATAGTCGATGTTCCATAGTCATTCTTTTAGTAAATATCATCTGAACTTGCTTCTCCCACTGAAACTAGTAAATTATTTATCTTATGTTTTCTCTAAAGTACAAAAATTGCAAATCTCATTAAAAAATATCGGTTTGATGATACTTAGTGATTTACCATTTAGTGTTATAAATTCAAAATTTTCAGTTTTCATCTAGTTAAAAATTGTGTCTATAAAAATTTCGTTTTATGTGATATTACAGAAAAAGATTCTACTAAATTTCAACACTAGTTTAATTAGAATATATTGCCACATAAAAATAAGTTTGATTTTTCACATTCTTATGACGCGTTTATGAAAATAATTGCAATGACAATCTGCAATATTTTCCGAGAAAAAAGTTGCAAACTTTTATGAAATTGATCGAATATAATACTGCAGTATTAGGCTTGAGAAAAATACAGCATAATGACATTATTAGTAGATAAAACGAAGACAGAACTTTCTTAAACTGATATCGTATATTTTTAATATTTAACTTTTCTGCTGTCTTTAGTCATCTTGAATGTATGAGATTAATTAGAGCAGATAGAAAATTTTGTATTTTCGCTGGTATACTTATACGAAAATATTATTTGTCTTACCCGTTAGGAAACACATCAATTATTTTGCGACAGCAAGATCCATTGATCCCAAACTGTATTCTGTTTTCCAGGACTTCTCGAAATCAGTACAGCTTGCTTGCAAGTACAACCATGCATTGACAAAATAATGAGACACGTACCTAGAGATAACTTACCTTCTGAAGACGATTTAACATGGATCTGTGAGTATGTAGAATTTTATACTATATCAACTCTATAAACGTAATTCTCAAATAATTTGTGAACTATGTGCTAATGAAAATAAAAGGGATTTTACTCTAATACCCGATTCACAACATTACAGAGTCCTTTTAATGATATACTAATTTTTTTATTTCGAAATGTTAGCTGCATTTCTTAAGAATTATATTTACAAAAAATTATCAGATGTAAATCTACTGGTGCGCCCTGGTAACTTTGAAATACCACTAAGTGATCTACAAACTCGTCACGTGTTGCTTACAGGTTTTTTTCTACGGGATTTCCAGTGGAATGCAAGCGGTATTTCTCAGGTCAAGAGGAGTGAGCTTATGCAGAATTTGAATTGTTATGATATTGATTTTTTTACACATATGGAAGGAAATTTAACTCCTGAGAAATTGAAATATTTCTCTTTCAAGGGTTATTCTTTAAACATTTTACTAAAATCTAGGCAGGCTGAGAGTGGAATTCTTACAGGGGTCAAAAAATTATCCAACTCCAATATCAACTTGAAAATTTGACAAAAATTGTTATACTCTGTGATTCTAAAGATAATCTTCTAGCCATTTCTTTCTTTCTTGAATCACCAATGTCTGCTGATCTTGTAAAACGTAATCAGCTTCTAAACAGCTTATATCAGGCAACACCTTCTAGATACTTACAGCTAGAAAATGAGAGCGCAGTAAAAACACGAATAGTTATAGAATCATCGGTGGAGTATTGGTTTGAGTTTGTGGGAGTTTCACATCGATCTTCCGATTGTGAAGTCACTGATCAGCCAGCCCTTCGTGCTCAAACCTTATTCTTCGAGACGGTGGTGGCACAGGATGGTAAAGAAGCTGCCAAAGAAGATGCAATGAATACCATCACATTGTTGCCTTCATGAAAAAGATAAGGCAGATTTTTTGCCAAAAGAATTTGGCACTCCTTTAGGAAGAAAGAAATGTGTTGCTATCTCTCGTCTTGTTACTGGTCATAATTGCCTCTCAAAACATCTCCATCGAATGAACATTATCCCAAGTCCAATTTTTAACCTGTGCAACTTTCATGAGGATTTGGATGTCTCACATCCGAGTGGTTTCCCTGCGGGTCCTGCGCTTAATTCAGATGCGTTTAAATCACCAAATTACAAATTATTTAACATCTGGTACTATGTCTGAAATCTGAATTCTTGTATCAGTTTTATAATTAAGTCGGTTCCCTGCATAGATTTTGTTGAAGCGTAATGTGAAAAACTTTCCGTATACAAATACGATGTCAGAAAAAGACGTAAATAATTTCGGTATTCATCTTAGGAACTTATTCAAAATTCGCTTAAAGGAAATTCTTAAAATGTCTATTTTATACCGGAATCACTTGTCAAATCAATTAACCACAAGTTCATAATTTTTCCCGAAAAACTTGGAAGGAATAATATTGGCGGAACACTGTTCAAGAAACACTTTTAGACAATAATGTTAAATTTTCAGACTGCACTTTTCCCCTTTCATACATTTTCTGCAATCTGAATCTAGATGGAAAAATTGTGAAAACGGAGACGTTTTGAACGATAGATTTAAATCCCTACGTTTTCACAAACAACAAATGAAGCAATAACAGAAATTTTGCTACATTGGCGTCCAACATTTCTTAGTGCGTCTGATTAGAAATAAAATGTTATTATATACAATTTTTAAAATCTACTTTCTTTAATTCTATGTTAATACTTTATACAGTCTCGTATTCTTTGGTAACATAAACTAACAAGTTCTAGAAGACTGCAGAGGAATTATCTTCTAGTCTTAACAGCAAACAGTCAAAGTCATAAGAAGGGTGTAAATGACCCATTTATTCCATCACAAAGAGCTCACAGTAACCGCACCTGGGTTTACCTAAGCCAACACTTCTGGCAAAACTTAAACAAGTAATGTTGAACATAAGAATAAAATATAATTCAACTAGCCTAACGGCTCACAGGATAATTTAAACCCGCAGAAAGGCTCTGGCTCGAAGAAGCCGGCGGGACAGGCCAAATGGTTAGAAGCACTCAACACCACAGAATAAAATCACTATTAAGTCAAGGTAACAACTTGTCTTTTAAGCAGAAATATTATGCTCTAAAATCAGCTTCCAAAACCTTCGCTTAAATAGCAGTTTTTTCTCTCTTAATCTAAATTAGTAGGCGCTATCTAATTTACAATGTGGCAGGAGAGTGACAGGAAAGTTGCTTTAACTAAAAATTATATATTAGTTAAAATAAATAAACAAATCCTCACAGCTTAACGCAAACGTCTCATGGATATACGCATAATTAATGAACTATATATCTTTATATTTAAAATACTTTAACATGCAAAGTTTTCCTGTGTAATGATAAAGAAAATGATAAATTATCATTGATAACGCATATTTGTGGCAGATATTTATCTTTTACATATTCTATCAATGTAAGAAAATTTTCATGAAGTTTCATAAAAGCAGTATATGAAAATTGCACTGTTTGTGTAAAATATCATATTCTGCACCACAGTATATTCTTTCCTATTTAAGGGGAATACTAAGTGGTTTCCAGTGTGTACGGGAAAAAGAAGCGATATGCGAACATGAGACAAACGAGACGAGACCTTCTGTCGTTCTCTCCAAAGACGAAGAATTCGCCATAGATATGTGTAATGTAGAAAGTGACCTGCGAAAACGTAAGTACATAACGTTATCAAATTAAAGTTTAAGTAAGTAGCTCAAATTTCTGTAATTTAAATATGTTTGGAAATATATATATTTTATATATACACAGTAACAGAAAAACTAATATGAAATATAACACTTCAAAACTTTATGATTTTTTGTGATTTTAATGCATAGTAAAACACGCTAATATAGTATATGACAAAGTTATGAATCTTTAAAACAAACAGAGTGTTTTAAACAAGCTTATTTATTTTTCTAATATTTAACTCACCATCTGTAAGAAAACATAATATTTTCTATGATTTAATTATTGAGCATATGATAACATTTTTGCGGCCTTTGATAAAAGGAACCGCCTGTAAGCCAACGATATGTTCTACACTATACAGGGGGTATGAATACAGCGTTGACATACTTTCAGGAGAGATTGAATACACATAGACGTTGGGAAATCACATAGGAATGCATGGTCGGAAACGCTTTCTTGGCGCGGTAGTGACGACACAAAATTCAAGAAAGAAAGGACACGAATACAACCAAAACAAAGCAAAAAACAACATAAACATACAAAGATCGTCATCAAAGATGTTCAATACTACGACCCGGACCGTGATGCAGGAACCGTGCGTCATGCCTCTTCCCTGCGATCATTCGTGATGCAGATCTTTCATACGCCAGAGATTATTTTTGTGTGTGTGTGTGTGTGAGATTATGGCAAAGTCTCGAGGGCTATCTGCCTAAGAGGAGGAATGCCTTCGTGGAGGACTTTCTAAGGGAACTGGCTCGTATACACTTTACACATGGGGAAACCATGAAAACGCCCATGCAGCAGCGTTCGCGGGATTCGACTCGGACCGAACTACAGTGTTCAGGACTAAAGGCTCGGCCGCTGGTGGGCCTCATACGCCCGAGAGTGACCTTGCCTCACGGTCTAGGTTGTAATTCGAAAACCTTCTTTAATTAAGATCAATAACACGCCGAACAAATATTAATCAGAATCCAAACAACAAAAACAGCGTTTTATTTTCCATTTCCCAGGCCTCGTTTCGTGATTTAATTGCCCATCCTCCTCGCTGCAAAAACGCCATGACGAGCTAAGGATAATATTAATAAGATAAAAAGCTGGGCAGGATACAAGCCACTGGCGCCATCTGTTGATGAAACCAGAACTAAAACATAAACCTTCTTTAATAACGATCGTTGTTTGTTCTTGTTCTTATTTATAAGTTACTGCTGCACTAAACGTAATAAAACATGTTCTGTCTCACTGTTTGTGTTCTTCGTTTATACGCGTCTTTTGCCGTCACTACAGCGCCGGGAATTCGTTTCCGACCATGCATGTGGTTTCCATTTGTCTTATCTGTACTCTAGCTCTCCTGAAAGTTTGTCACCGCTATATTGATACACACTGTATAATCTTGTGTCATTTATTCGGTACATTTTCCATTTCCCCTCTTCTGTAGAACTTCTCTACGCTGGTGTCGAAGACGTTTTATAGTCTGGCACGAAGATTCTTTGCATTGCCATGTTTCTGTCTATGAAAAGAGTTTTGCAGTAACCGAAAATGGTGAATATCGGTTGAAGAGATATACTGTAATTATATTGAAAGGGTGAGCAGCATGAGGTACAAGCGTTCTCTAAATCTTCTGCAACTATCTCTAAGTCTTGACTGAAATATTGTAACTTACGTTGTTCTGAAGGAATACCGCTCCCTGTCTACACATCAGTGTTGAATGCTTTTCTCTGGGGCAGCACAAAGACGGTCATGCTCCTGAAAGTACACCCTTCTATTTAAAGTTCGCTTTAGTTGTAAAATGCGTCCCTTAAATTAAATTAAATTAAAGCACACATGTACGTTCTTTTGAAACCCCTTTTAGATATTTAGCAGAATACCAGGAACAGTTTTGCTTGCACATTTTATTTAACGGTAGATCCTGGACGTTTCCCTGTCTTGAAAACCTATACAACATTACTTGGCATACTTTCATTTAGCAGTCTCATATCCTGTTACTTAGAATATCACCAAACCCTCATTTAACCTAAATTTCGATCCATTCTATTGGATAAAGTTTTAAAGACAAGCAGTCATTTCTCTATCCGTGTCTATCCGTGTCTTTCTTTAGTAGTTTCTGTAGTGCTCAGGTATCGAAAGTTATTATGAATTCGCTTTTCATCTGTCTTTCAAAGAACCTCCAAAATGCTTGTTACTCCTGCCGCAATAATTTTATTTTTCCTGGAATTGCCTACCGGAATGTCTTCTTTCAGCTCTTGAATTCTTAAAATTTTCCTGAAATTATCTGGTTTTCAAGCTGAGTCGCGCCATTTCGAAAACGTGGAAACTAATACTGCCAGCTGTATTATAATCCAGCTTGTAAGATTTTATGTTAATTAACCAATTATTATGATTTGAATCTTTACTTTAAATTAATCCTTCTGTAGTCCTCACAAGAATGAAAATCACCTGCTTTGTATTTAAGTTGAGGATTTTAAAGCTTTAAAGCTAGAACTTCTAGCAACCTTTCATTTGCACTTACGTACTGTTTCCAGAGTCAGAGTTATTCCAGTGTTAGCCACTTGCTAGACGACGCTTAAAATACTTACTTGAACCAGCTCAAACAGACAAATATGTTTGTAGGCTTGGACTACGTTATTTGGAATTTGAACTCCCAATCTTATGTTATTTTAAATACCGAAAATAACGAAATTATATTCTGTAACACAAAAATGGATTCTGTTAATTTAAGTTAATCTAAGATTAATATAAAGGTAATTTTATGTTTCTTATAAATTTGTAATTGCTTTAATTTAAACACATAAGTCATTAAGTCATTTTTCAGTCTAGTGGGATCTGAGGATTAAGCTTCTAGCAGGATCTCACATCTGGCACCCAACTCTCTTACGAACCATTAGAAAGTCCTCTACGAAAGCATCTCTCCCCTTAGGCAAATCCTCTGGAATGCTTTGCCATAACCAAACAAACCAAATTAACTCTTACGAGTTATTGTAGGAGACTGCAGATTCCAAAATTTTTCATACCAACCTCTGCTCTCTGAGGTGAAGCACTGAACTGGTATAAAGGCCCCTTGAAAATATTTGCTAGGTGAACCAGGATGTGAAGATTATATGTCTGATTTGTTTTAAAATGTCCTTTTGGGCGCATTCCCTTTGTTTGAAGCTAAGCTGAAGTTGGAAGCAAAGATTTATGCTAAATGTCAGAGTGTGTTAACTGATTTCATTTACTCCAGTTTGTTGGAATATATCCAAGATTTTGTAGAGTTAAGAACCCTGGTACTTTAGAACAGCTTTCCTAGTTCGTTGTGAAATTTGAAAGTCGCCGTGTGTCCAAATATATCTAATGAAATCTGGAATCTAATGAAAGAATTAGCAAAAAGTTTTGAAAGCCTAATGCGAAATGATGTATACAATTTACAGCAGGAAATGTGTAAGTTACTGGCAAAATGTTCCGTCCGCTGATGGCGAATGTTAAGATAGATCTAAATGAAAGATAAAGAGATGATAAGGAGAATCGTTTTATAAGGGAAGATTTATAAGAAGAATCGTTTTATAAGTCTTAAAATAATAGTGTAGCTGTGATATGAAGTTCATTAGAATTCATTTATTCAAACTCAAAAGAAGACTATATGAACCAACAAAATTTTATTCTTTTCTAGACATAAACGAACAACTGTTCCCACACATATTCCAGTAAATATTTCTTTATTGAGGCCTCGCGATACAAAACGCAAACGTTAAGTCGTACGCTGTTAACTATGGGGAGTGCTGTAGGCCAGAAAGTGTAGTGATTTTAGAAGTAAAAGAGCCTCTCACATACAATTAAATACGGCAGTAATTAAAATCATTTTACTTCCGAATATTCATACCGTTTTCAATGGAATCTTGTCAGACTCCTCACTGGACATAGAGCAGTAACGCTGCTTTTCAGCGGAATTTTTAAAAAAAATATTTAGTAATGTATTAAGGCTTCAAGGTAATGTTTCAGGATCTCTGAGTTGTCGCGACCACTCGGGTAAGAAAGAACAACGCTTCAAAGAAGGACCAAAAATTAAAATTTCCGGTCAATAATTTCAGTAAGCAGCTTGCTTTGATGGGTAGATGGCTGATCAGTTACGGAGAAATCTGCGCTGCAAACGGCCACCGGCCTTGGAACCAATACTAACCGGGTTAAGAAATTTAAAAGAACCAGCGACTTGGCACAGATGGACAGAAGACCAGAAGGCATAGACCACGCACTGGATACAAACCTTTCCTGGAAGAGACCTACACAGCCATATTATTTCAAAGGGCAAAATACATTGAGGAGAATAAAAGATCGAGTCCAGAAACGAAAGATGTCTGCAAAGGGCGAGGGTAGTTACAAGCTTCAAAGATGTATAAAGATCCATAGAAAAATAACATACCTAACTTGAAGAGAATTTCTGGAGGAACGCATGATGGACTTCCGCAATGAAAATAAAGGATAAGTGAAAATTTGCTTTTATATCTTGAAGTATCAGTTTATGTTGTGTATGTGTACGAAGTTGCTAGCATACTTTTATTTTCCCCCATCGAGTATAGATAAGTTGAATACAGCGCAAAAGTTTTTTGTTCATAAATTCATCTGCTTTTAATTATTTTACTAAACTAGCTACACGGAGCTTTCTTTCTCAGCACTCTTTTCATTTGCAACTGCATTTTAAATGTACAGTTTTATAAATTTCTTTACAAAAGGGTATTTCCTAGCATACTATATTTCCATTGCTGTGCTTAAGGCAACGTATCTAAGCTTAAAATATTGTGCATAAAACCAAACAGTGTATATAAACTGTGTATAAACTTATTGGCAGAACATTGATTTAATCCAGACTAGATATCATTTGCTATCTTCCAGCAGCTTTTTGTAATATGCTAAAGCCTTAATGACGTTTTCAGTATTTTATACTTCTACAGTTCACTTGGAGAAAATGTAGCAATTTCAGTTTAGACATGTAGCTTGTAATCAAGGCTGCCTCATTGTCGCCAGTATCACTTCTGAAGATACAGCCAGCTGATAATGCGTTTCCTTCTACATAATCTCTCTAGTTTTTTATTGCTTGTTTTTTATGAATAATGTTGTTTGTATTCATTTAACAATGTTGAGAAAATTGCTTGTGGCATAACCACATGAACCAATTTCAAGGTGCCACAAGCAGGCCAAGGTGACGAAGAAAGTAAGGCAAATGTTGTTCACCAATTGTACGATTTACCATGTATCAATCAGCAAATACCTCAGTTATATTAAATAAGTTAAATAGTTACGCGTGATCGGTTGTTGCTCCGTAATAAGATACATTCCGATAACCTCATAAGTGACGTGTCTTATGTATAGCTAACATAAACAAACAATGCAGATAACCTCAGACATTACGTGACTCATATATAGCTTATGTAAAAAAAAAAAAAAAATGTAGATATCCTCAGAGATCACGTGACTTATGTTTAGCTAATGTAAACAAAAATGTAAATAACTTCAGAGATCACGTGACTTGATGTAATAAACGTGTAGTTGATGTAAATAATGTAGATATCCTTAGAGATAACATGACTTTTGTATAGCTAATGCAAACAAACAAGGTCATTCAGCATCTTTTTGCCTTGCGGAATGTATTTCATTGGACTACAGTAAAGATCTGTAGTAGTAAGTTATTTTTTTATCCTATTAAATAGAGGTGTTTATCTCGTGATGCCAAATGCATTATAGTGTATGGACTGTAGGAACTGGTCTCTTAAGTTGTGATACCAAAAAAATGCTATGAACCGAACTATGAATATTATGAACTTGTAAGGTTTATCTTAAGTTTTTAACAGCTATCTTTAGTTAAAGCTACTTTCCTATTTCAGCTTACACATTTCCTGCCAGAGCGTGCTTTTAGAATCGCGATTAAATGCAAGTGAAGGAAGAGCAGTACTTAAATCGAAGTTCCACTGACTTCGTTAGAGAATCAGAGATTCTGACTAGCGCGCGTTCGTGATTTGGCTACACTCTAAGCTATTACTACGCTCGGCCGTATTTAAGGCCCTTAATAGCTTCGCCGTTTAGTTAACATTTAGGGGCCAACTCCTGCAGAATTTTGATAGCTTCGGCTATATCTTTTTAGTTAAGGATTAGTTTTGATTTTCTTAGTACTCTTGAGTTCAAACTCATGTGGAGGCTTTCCTGTAGACCCTGAGGAAGGATCATCTGTTAATCTTTATTTTGAGAAATAAAAGGTAATTAACCCTTCTTGAGTTAACGTTTATGTTTCCTGAGCTAAAGCTATTATTCGCTTACCAAGCTGGAATCTTATAAACTATAGAATAAACCAGAATTTATATTTAATTTCAGAAAAGAAGGGCATCAAAACCGCATTAAACGAACCGAATCGTTTCCCTCAACTACGATCAACGCCTTGTGTGTAACCTTTAATATCCGTTTACTGTAGATGCAGCGCTTAAAACTGAAGGCCTTAATCTATATCTAAACAGAAAAGGCCTTTGCATATAGTTGTTATAGGTTTTGATTATGCGGAAAATAATCAATATATATATATATATATATATATTTTTTTTTTTTTTTTTTTTTTTTGTCATACAGGTTATGTCAAGACTCTACCTTGCACTACACAATATTACAGGCAGATTCCTAAACTGCAGTGCTTAATGGAAGGAGAAGCTTTATATGTAAAATACAGAAAATTTCTTAGGAGTTTGACAGATGAAAATGACGCTGAAGAAGCTGAATACAAAAAATGCATGTAGGTATTTAAAAAAAATAAGTATTAGTTCACTTTTTAGTTGCATTTTATATTTATGCAATTCGAATAAATATGGGCAATAAATTATTCGAAATTATTTAGATCACAAAGGTATCAATATTGCTTTTCAATCATTACATTTATACTTTTCACACAAACAGTCTATTTTGTAATTGTAACTACTATTTTTGTTCAATAATTTATATGAAACAACAAAAACGGTTATACTTCCATTATATCGGTAAATCTGCTTATACCTCCGTAATATACAGATGAAAGTATGGAAACGATGACTAGCATTTAATTTCCTTCTAACAAATTTAAGATCATTCGTCTACTTGATATCTCACCAGAGTAATTTGCCCAACATTTATGTTATTTATATAAGCATTTATAAAAATGTTTTGTTTACTTAAAAATTAGTTTTATTGTTTTTGTTTGAACAATAGTAATAAATGTTATAACTATGTAGAAAAATGCGGTTGAACTAAACTAAACACAATGTATACGTAAGAATATACACATACGAGTATATCACGAAGTTTATCTTGTTGTATTTTAGTGTGTTTTCTATAAGGCAGTTTTCTTCTAACCATTCCTGTTAAACAAAACTTAAAATAAAAAGATAAATAAAACGTGATAAATAAAAATTTAAAATAAAAAAAATTAATTTAAAGCATACTTTAGAATTTCCGATACACAGTCTTGCGCGCTGGAGATAATTTTTTTTATTACGTACACTGTTGCCATTGCTCGCTTTGACGTCGTTGAATTTCTCAATCAAAAACTCATAAATGTTTTACAAATATGAAACGTATAATAAAACAAACTCCAAATTCCTAATTTGAGCTTCCAGATGCCCATATTCGGATAGAGACGTTCCTTATTCAAAATTTGATGTCTCTGTGTACCCTTGGTTTATCACAGAACGAGAAACATACATACATTTATGCAGATTATTCATTACCTAATTTCTTTAAATATAACGCAGGTCTCTAATATTTAGTGGCAATAATTTGAAAAGTGAAACAATGTTTATAGTGAAAAGCCACAAAATTCCAAAACGAAATTTATAGCCCTTCTGGTCTAACTCTTTTTGGGATTAGGGAAAGAAAACCTGAAATCTTATATTACGCCGAAAGGGTGTTTTTGTAGTGTTTTGTGTGTTACCTTTATTTATTAAATATCAGGTTATTCGAACTTAAACCATAAAATTAAATTCAACAGCAATATCACAAAATATTGTTACGGATTTGGTATTTAAATAGCTTATGTTAGTTGAATTGTAAATTAAATGGTTTTATTTCCCGCGCAGTGCAGCGCGTGACGAATATTAAAAGAAAGCTGTGCAGGAAAATTGAAAATACAGGAGCGCGTGCATGTAACATTTAATAAATATCTCTTTTTGATTTCGAGAAAGTACTAGAAAATTCTCGTACGCGATTTTAAAATCTTATAAAAGGAGGAAAACCTCTCAGTTCGTGATAACCCCTCGACCAACCCCCAGCACGAAGAAGAGGTTCAAGATGTCGTTAACATGCTCAAAAACAGGGATAACACGGATTATATAAAATTCATCTCCCCGAAAGAAGTCCATACTATCATTAACCATCTCAATACCAAGAAAGCTCACGGGTTTGAGGGGATCAGCAACCGTGCTCTGAAGGCCCTCCCTCCGAGGTGTATAGTGCTACTTACAAACATCTTTAATGGTTGCATCAGAACGAGTTATTACCCTTCGCAGTGGAAACATTAGATTATTATCACTATACTGAAGCCGGAGAAAAACCCCTCACTTGCAGACAGTTATCGTCCTATTAGCCTTCTTCCGGTTATCGGAAAAATATTTGAGAAAACTTTAAACAACAGAATTACAGACCACCTTGAAAGATTGGATCTGATAGACCCGGCCCAATTTGGTTTCCGGAAACACCGCAGTACAACCCATCAAGTACTAAATATCGTTGAGTTTATCACGAGAGCTTTTTTCCACAATACAAGTGTGGCAGCATGCTTCATAGACCTTGAGAATGCCTTCGACAAGGTCTGGCACGAAGGATTGATTTATAAGCTAAATAACTTTCTTTTTCCTGTCAGCCTTGTGAAGTTAATCATCTCTACCTAAAAAGAACCTTCCAGGTGTGAGTTGGAGACTCCTTTCCAGAAGGAAAATCATTGCCAGCGGCGTCCCGCAGGGTTCTGTTATTGGCCCAAAATTATTCAACATTTCGTTAATGATTTTACCCAACCCACTGAATGCTAAAACCCTGAAATATGAAGACGACACGGTGATTTTATCGGAATCTAAAAGCCTCCAACTTGCTCTTACTAACCTACAGTTTCATATCAACATAGTAGCTGCTTGGTGTCAACTTTGGAAGAATTAAAAATTAATACCGTGAAATGTAAAATTGTCCAATTCCGTACCGCTACAGAAGAAATGTCACTACGAACACGGATATCAAGATAGAGAATGATGTGATTCCAGTTTGCTCGTCCGCAAAGTACTTGGGTGTTACTCTAGATGATAGGCTTCACCTTCAAAGAGCACGTAACCAACCAAGTAAATAAAGCAAATGGAGTTTTCATGTCGCTTTATAACTGTTATAGGTAGGAAATCGAAATTGAAGCTTAAAAGCAAAACGCATGATCTATCTTCACAATGATTAGGCCAGTTAATGCTCTATCGCCGCCCCAGCGTGGGCAATTGCCAATAAAGACGGAATAGGGAGAAAACTAGAAGTCCTTCAAAATAAAATATTGAGAGCCATCACAAAGGCGCCCATAGTTTGTTACGAAATAGCATCATTCACGCAGACTTGAAAATAAAGTCCATTCCTGAACAAATCCTCATGGAGGCGCACAACTTCTTTCGAAAAAAGGGGATAATTCTCCAGTGCACACGCTAAGAGAACTCGGTAATTATGACCCTACGGTGGACAGCGTGGTGAAGAGACCTCGGTCAATTCACCATAATGCGCGGTGGTGATGATATAAATATGTAAAATAGTGTACATATGAAGTTGTGTTTTGTGCTCTATCTAACCTTATTTAACCAACTACTGTGTTTTACTGCCAAATTGGCTATTTGCTTGGAAGCAGGCTAGAGACTCTGAATTAATTAATATGTGTTAAGGACTGTGTATTGTGTGATCTCACCACGCCCACTGCTGTGGTTCTACTCCTGATTACCTGCTGGACTGCGCACCCTATCTCAGTAACCTTACGCTAGTATCCTGACCGAATGCATCATGCATGGACTTGAATGCTGGATGATTTTGTTTTCCAAGTACTAATTTCCCAATTTTCATATATTCAGCTTGACTTCGCCACGGAATGATTGCACCTTGTTCTAATGTCACGTTCCCGGGCGAGGTGCAGTAGCACCTTAATGTACTAAAAACCGTTAATGGCCTTCATAGGCTGCACAGAATGAACAGGTCAAAACTCAAAGTAGTTGTATACCTGCGGTGAATCAGAAATAAATAAATAAATAAGTTCGTGGTAGTTAGTTAGTTTGTTGTTGTTAAGAGTTTGTTTAGAAAAGTGCTCTTGTTGATTGTAGCGAATTCGCGGATTAGCTTTCTTTAGCTGTTTTGAATCAAGTTCTTGTGAACGTTTGAGTAGTTAAAAGATAACTACTGTGAGAAATTGTAATACTGCACTATAATTTGAGGAAATTTAAGCATATTTGCTGTGATAATAATAAATTTTGTTCATTTTTTTTCATCGGACTTGTGCATTCATTTCGTAACGAACCCGTACGCTCGCAACAATATATAAAAGAGCACACCTTTAGAATTTCCGATACACGGTCTTGCGAACTGGAGATAATTTTTTTTCCGTACAGTGTTGCCATTGCTTGCTTTGAAATCGATGAGGTTCTTAATAGAAAACTCACAAATGCTTTACAAAATATGAAATAGATAATAAAACGAATTCAAAATTCCATATTTGTGCTTCCAGATGCCGATATTCGGATGGAGAGGTACATTATTCAAAATTTGATGGCTTCATTATTTAATTTCTTTAAATATAAGGCAGGGCTCTAATATTTGATAGCAACAATTTAAAAAGTGATTTGCTGTTTATAGTGGATAGACGCAAAATGTCAAAACGAAATTTATAGCCCTTCTGGGCAAATTAAATAATTTAAAAAAAAAAAAAACTTTCAAATCATATATATTTAGAATTTGAAAATTCAATGCAATTGTTTTACATAAGTATACTGAGTATGCAAAAAATCTATATCTCATTGTCGATATCTATCTTATAGGGTCCTGGGTTACACTTTAAAATGCATAGCAGATGATCTTCAGTGGAAATGCGGAGAAGAAGCTAAAGCAGTTTACTGGGAAATTGTTCATAGGCTCACAAGGGGGCTCATCGGCGCTTGTATCAAGAATGCCATCCAACAGCTAGAGTCGATGTTCTATCCATCCTTTCAAATATACGAGGAGCAAAACAGCATTTTCTCTTGACGTGTGAAAAAAAGAAGAAATATTCTTAGTTCCACTTTCGGAAAAAAAAGGACCCAACAAATGAATTCACGTGCACTCAAAACATTCTGGAGAAAGCAGTTATTTAAAGTATGGGTACGAATACTATCAGGCATACTTATTTCGTTATGGAAAATATTGTCTTTGAAAAGAATAATAATGAGATAAAATCATGGTTAAAACTGATATTTTATAATAAAATTTTCAATAAATTGAATTATTTTCATCAATTGATTTTATATGTTTCTCATCAAAATATCTTTATCGTTAATTTAGATTGTCAGTTGGAATAAAAAATGTTAAAATATTTAATGTTCAATACGTACAAAAATGAAATATTCAAATTCAGAGAATTTCAATCAATTTCTTCAATTTTTTTTTAAACAGTTCTTCGCAAGATGGATAATAGAAAAATATTTATTGACTAGAAAAAGTGATGGTGAGTCTCGAACAGTTACCAGTCGAACAATGACTGGCAAAATTAAGAACTATGTGAGACATAGAACAAAGCGAAGAAACTTACTGAAACTTTCAAACAAGAAACCCATTAGAATATTACCAACGGGAAGAGCGAGACTGTTCCATATAGCTGTAGAAACATCATCATAAAAATTTAAAAAAAAATCAAAGAAATGACGTCATGATGTTGCTACCCCAAGACAAGTTTGCATTCTAATAAACAGGACAAATAAAGAGTCAAAATGAGTGCTAAGCGTAATTCCAGGTATATACAGTTATATTAAAAAATTATTCATAACTATGACCAAGTAAAGTATTTTGTCATCATAATACATATTTAGGTAAAATAAAAAAAATATCAAAATATTTACAAAATGCGCTTCAAAAAAAATCAAAAATTAATTTTCGCTTTTGCAATTCTAGTCTTAAGTCAATCACTAATCTTAGGTAAGAGTTTACATTTTTGAGGTATGAAGGATATAATGCATGCGGGCAATCGACAATCTACTGTAGTTCTAATAACGTCAATTATACTTATTCTCGTAATCCATTAATGTGAATAAACGTACGGAGTAAGAGTTTCGAACGCACTGAAATGCGTTTCTGCGTTAACTTTAGAGAAATAGTTTAAACTTCAGTTCTTGACACTGTAATTATTCTCCCTAATTAGAAGAAAGCTAAATAATTCTTTAGCTTAGACAAATGTAATTCGAGGAATCTAAAGAAATATAATAATACAGTTGAACTCCAATACCAAAATCAATTGGGACTAGACGCATTCGGATAATCAAAAATTCGGATAACTGGATTTTTCCCGAAGAAAGGGTCTACGTACACTTTAGTTAATTATTGCATGTTGAAAATGGGAGAAAAAAGCTATTTTAAAGAAAAAGGTTTTTATTAATTAAATGAAAAGACAAAACTTTTACGTACATGTTATATAGCGCACTATAAGAGTGCTGCAAGTCATTGCTTGCTTAACATCTCGGTCACAGTAAGCTTCATCCGTTTTCGTCTGAGTGTCTTCATCCGTTTTCGGGCACCAAATTGCTTTAACAATGAGAAGTTGCATGCGGTCACACTCGGGCTGACGCTCCATTCACTTCAATGCAGATTCAAGGCCGGCAAATGCTTCACTAGCTGATTGTCCCCTGTCTGCTTCAACTTCGACATTAAGGTTATCTTTTTCTTGGACACTTTCTTTTCTCACACGTTTAATAAGTTCATCATCATTTAGAATTTGAAACCCAGGGTCTGACGAATCACACACCATCCATTCTGCTGTACTCTCAGCACTAACTTCTGAACATCCAGGAATTTTCAAAGGAATGTTTCTTAATTCCTCAAGTGAGACGTCATCCTCATTTTCTCCTGCCTCTTCCCTTTCCTTTTTTGGGCGTCTTTTTCCTTTTCCTCTTTTTCCATCTCCTCTTCAATTGATTCTAAAAAATTCTGAAATTATGAAAGCGATTCGGATAATCAACGATTCGTATAGTCGAGTTCGAATAATTGTAATTGTACTGTATTTTTTACAAAAGCGCTTCAACGCAATTTCAGGGCAGGCAAACGCTTCACTAGCTGATGGTCCCGTGTCAGCTTCAACTTCGACATTTAAGGTCATCTTCTTCCTCGACATTCTCAATAAGTTCATCTTGATTTATAATCTGAACCCCAGGGTCTGACGAATCACGTACCATCTATTTTTCTGTGTCCTCGGCTCTAACATCTGAACATCAGGAATTTTCGAAAGAATGTTTCTTAATTCCTCAAGTTATATGTCATCCTCATCTTCTCCTTCCCTTTCCTTTCCTTGAGTTTCTTTTTTCTCCTTTTTCCCCTTTTCTTCAGTTGATTTTGAAAATTTCTGAAATTCTGGAAGCGATTCGGATAATCAGCGATTTGGATAGTCGAGTTCGGATAGTTGGAGTTATATTGTATTATAGTACATTAATCAGAATGTGATATCACGGTCATTTGTTTCATGCCTTATGTAGAGAATAATCTCATCATAGAAGATGATTTCAAAATTAATATCCTGACAGTTCAGCGGTGAAAGCACCAATGACTTAATTTTTATGGGTTATCATAGGTTGATTTGTAAATGAAATTCTTTTTTAGCTAAAAAAAAAAAAAAAAAATTCTCCTAAACTACAGAGCTACGGTAATAATGTAAAATGCTATGTTTATTAATATTACTTGTAATTTTTTTATCTTAAAATTTTATAAATATTTATAATAAAATATATTTAAGCAATTAAAGTGGAATAATTTCAATATTTTATAGAGACTCTTATATTTCACATTCGATGTCCCTAAATTCATCATGGCAGTAACTGAAAATTCCATTTCATCACAAAATAATAAAAATATCATTTTGCTTTAATTATGAATCAAGGAACATATGAAGTGTAATTCTGATAAAAATTTGAAAAAAGAGTAATCGAGAATCGTTTCTTAACGTAAATTAACTAAAACCTGATAAATGCATTATAATGTTTGGAAATCTAGAAAAGAAAAAGAAACTGTTACCATCATTTTGCCTTTAAAGCATACGCATGTGACTGGCCATTTTGATGCAAAAATGTTTCCTCCAGCTATTTCATTAAGTATCTTGCACATATCATAGAAAACTTCAGAAAACATCTAAAACATCTAAAGCGTTCGTTTTATTTTTAAATAGTTTGCATCACTGTAAGAAGAAATGCGTATGATATATTGAGGAAGTATAACGTTTTCTTAATACTTCATGTAATTATTGTGCAATTTTTTAGTAAATATAAAATATTTTTAAAACTCATTTTACACTTGGAGACTTTTTATTTTCTAAGTAGTTAAAGATATCTCTTATATGCTTTTGCTATAAAGAGATTATAACAGTTTCATGGTAATTTTTGACTAGGTTACAGTTCGTTGCCAGAGCAAGTGAATTTTCAAAAATGACAAAATTCCTAACTGTCGCTATCATTAGTTATATAATGATTTACATTGCTAGTTCAAATATCAAATGATTTGCAGTGAATGAATAACATTTCATAGAAAATGGTTCACAAAAGAGATGTGCTTGAGCCCTTCATCGGATATGAGAAACCCCAAAATACTATAGGTAAATTAAAATACTTAAAATAAAAAGTAGCAGAGAAATTTTAAAAAATAGTTCATTTTGTTCACCTCTTACACAAAGAGAAACTTTACGTTAAAAAACATCCAGTAACATAATCAGCATGAGTTTGTAGTCATTAGGAATTTTGAAGCAGGAGACATGAAAAATGTGCAATGCCCTCACCTGGACTCAGGCCTCCGAAGTACGCGCCGAGTGTACTTCTGTTACACCCCGAAGGCTTGCTGGAAGGTAGTGTGGTGTAGTAGTGGTGTATTTAATTATGACAGAGCACACTAGGGCTATCTGCCTAAGGAAGGGATGCCTTTGTGGAGGATTTTCTAAGCGGAACTTGCTCGTATACACGTTGCACACGGGGAAAACCACGAAAATACCCATGCAGCCGGCCCGTTCGCGGGATTCGAACTTCTGACCGAACTACACTCAGCGACTTAACCGTTCGGCCGCTTGTGGGCCGCTTGCTCGAAGGAGAGAGAAAAATATCTTATATACTCTCCATTTTAAAAGGCGACTGGGGACTAGGGAACCCAGTCGGAATCCTGATGGTGACAAATTTTGGTTCCTGATGGTCCTTTTAGTCCGGATGCCATTTGTAGAGTCATTACATTATTTTGGAGGAGATGTGAAAAATGTGCAATGACCTCGCCGGGACAGGAACCTAAACCTCTCGAATACGGACCGAGTGTGCTACCGTTACACCACGAAGGCATGCTGAAAGGAAGGAGAAAATATCTTATATACTCCCTCTTGTAAAGGGCGACTTGGGATTAGAGGACCTAATCGCGAGATTCTGGTGGTGACGAATTATCATCCACCACCTTTTATTTCGGGTGCTAGTTTAGTGTTTTTAGGCTTTCTTTGTAAAGCAAGAGACTTGAAAAATGAGCCCTGCCCTCGCCGGCACCTGACCCTCTCGAATACGCGGAGTGCGGTACCGTTACACCACGAACACATGCTGGAAGGAGGGAGAAAGTACCTTATATGTTCTTTATAATCATAATTGAGCTACATATTTCATAAAATAAAATAACCATTTTCTTGTGTATTTCTGGGATTTCTTTGTATAAATTTTAAGTAAAGAACTAGTGTTTTCTAGGTTAAATTTCTGTGTTCTATAATTAGATATAAGACACTTTGACATAAGTGAAGTGTTTTAGGTCCCTTCTTTTTAATGTATAGATAAAGTTGAAACATACTTTATCTTTCAGTATGATAAAACATAGATAAAATTGAGACATACTTTTCTAAAACTGTAAATTCAGCTGTGTATGCCTAAAAGTATATAAGAAATATTTTACATATTTTTAAAAGGTAAAGATCAGTTCTAAAGATAAATCTTTTCAAATCTTTATTTTCTTCTGTGCTGAAAGTCTAGTTGCTCACTAGTTATTGTCTAAATAGTGATTTCTGGATTTATAACAGAAAAGATCTCACAGACTTCCAAATGTCTGAAATCAGATGAAGTTTTATGCTTGTGACCACACGCCACATGCATAATACTGTATATTTACCACTGAGCTTCAGAGCTTATCATTAGAACACCTATGACACACATCTCTACGAAGACTTGCAACATTAATTTTTAGATAACATTCCAGAGTTTTTGAAGTTCTGCTATTAGCTTAAATCCTTTAGGGCTGTATGTATAGGCTAAATGAATACATTAATGTCAAGACATGTTTACGGATTGGTATTTGTACTTACCTATTAAAGTT